CTGGGCATCCTGTGCCAGGGCCTCACCACTCTCAAAACTCAGAATGTCTTTCTAATAACTAATCTGAACTTACTCTCTGTCAGTTTGAAGCCATTCCCCCTTGCCCTGTCACTGCAGGTCCTTGTAAATAGTCTCTCCCTTTTTGTTGTAGGTTCCCTTCAGATACTGAAAGGTCACAGATAGTTCACCCCAAAGCCTTCTCTTATCCAGGCTGAACAATCCCAATTATCTCAGGTTTTCAAAAGAGAAGGGGAAAAAAAAAAAAAAAAAAAAAAAGGTGAGGGGGTGGCACATGAATGCCCTTGTGATGACCCTCGCTGGGTGCTGGCAGCTTCATAATGGTGACAACAGCAGCTCTTAAAAAAACTTCCTTGCTCTTGGATATTCCTTAAGGAACTAGAGGCAACCCTGAGGAACTGAGCTCCCAAAACCCACCAGCACAGCTCATCAAGGTGCAGGACCCCTACCCTGCTCCACTTTGGAGCAGGATGTGAAATGAGAGGGGGAAGCATTTAAGAGCAAACTTTACACCCAGCTCAGGGGCTGATGGAGCACAGCACTGACGGCTGATCATTAGGGAAACATCAGGAACAAGAAGAAAAAAGGAAACTCGTACAAATAAGTGCTAAAAAAAATCCTCTGGGAGACCTAGAAACCAGCAGCTAACTTGTCTGCTGCCAGCACAGCCAGCAGAAGGTAGGCATTAAAAACAAAAAATAGTAATTTAAAAAAGCAGCCTGATGAGGTCTGGTCACCTTTTACTCCAGACACTGAAATGGTCCCTTTGCAAGGTGATGGTATGAGATGAAACAAGGCTTTTGGTTATTACCACTCTCCAAAAAAGCCACTTTATTTCTGCTGGAGCAGAGGCAGTGCAGAGAGCATTTACAACCCTCGCACCACGCAGTTGTGGTCCTGTCTCTGGTATCCCACAGCCAGGACTTTTACTGGTATCACCCACACAGCCTTAAAGGAGGAAAACCCACCCCTTCACCAGCAGGACAGGATGCAGCTTCGCATCCTCTTCCCAAACCTGCATCCTGGGTACCCACGGGGCTGCCAGAGCCAGTGGTTGCTGTGGCCCTACAGAGGTCTGAGAGAGGGGTCAGTTCAGAGATAAAACATGCCTGTGTCACCCAGAACAACCCCTCCACCCCCCAGAGCCTGACAAACATCTCCCATCCAGGGCCAGTGCTGCCGGACACAGGCCTGAGCTGGGTTTAGCAGGAGACAAAGCAATAATTAAACGGGGACACGAAATGGTGTGGAACAACAAAAAAATAAATCTCTCTTATGTTTTGTTAAATTCAGCAATTTACAAGGCTGGAATAATTAGTGGTTTAAAATGTTTTGACACAAGCAGCCCCAATAATCATGATAAATCATATCAGGCATATGCCCAGATCCTTGAAGTGACAGATGACAAACAGAGCAGTGACAAGACGCTCCATCACACGGGGAATCATTGAGTTAATGGAAGAATTATTGCTTCTGAAATCCACTCCAGTCCCATTGTGGGGAACATTCCAATTTATCAAAGCCAAATGAACATTAATTGCTGCAGCCTGGTAAGTTTTCGAGCTGCTGTGACCTTCATTGAATTTTAATCCAAAACAGATAAGATTTACTTCCACACAACAGGAAACAACACAATTAAACCCAAATGACAGCTGAGATTACGGTGAAAAAACACAACAGGCGTAATGACAAAAATATTGATTCCTTTCTACTTGACACTGTGCTAAAAAAAAGGTAAATAAATAAAATCTTGCATTTGCATATTTGTTTGGTTTTTTCCCTCCTTTTTCTCTTCTTTTCATTTGGGAGACAAATTTCAGATGCTCAAGCCAAGAGGAAAGGAGTGGCAGAGAGTAATGGAGACTGAATTCCCTTTAACTGCAGTAATTAATGTTATGTCTCATTGGGGAGAGATTAAGAAAAAACTGTTAGGAAAAGGAAAAAAAAATTAAAATTAAGTATTATTTTGCTGTCAAAGATGCCCTTGAGCTTAGGAAGGGAGGTGTGAAGAGGGTCACAGTCACTCAGTGCTTTGCAGGGGCAGATGGTGGCTGCAGGGACACTGATGGCCCCTATCCCACTGCACTGGAGGCAAAGCCACCCCAAACCACAAAGCCAAAATCCCTGGAAGGAGGAGTAAACCCAGGATTTACACCTCCCTGCAGCCCCCAGGCAGAGCAGGAGCTACCAGCCAAGCCGTAAACACCTATAGAAACCCAAACCCAACATTCCCATTGGAGGGAGCTCAGCTCAGAGACACCTCACTGCCCCACAAAGCTGTGCCCAGTGCTCCCTCAGTGAGGGATTAGCCAGATCCCCCAGGCAAAGCTCCTATAACTCAGATGGAGGTGGAAGAGACAACAAAAAGCAAGCGTTACAACCACTTAAAGGAGATGGAAGGAAGCCCTTTCCCATGTCTCCTGTCTCCCCCCAGAGGGATGCTGGGCTGAAGATGAACGGGCACACAGAGCCTGAACTCCAGGGCAGGGCTGGGGTGGGCTGGAATTCCTCATCTGCAGCAGGAATGGTGTTTTAGTCTATAGAGAGCACTCAGGAGACACTGGGCTTCATGGTGGGAAGAGGAAGGAAAAGTATTTGAGAAGCATCCCAGGGATGTTCAGCTGCATCCCGAGGCAAAAGGGATAAGGACACCATAGGAATGGGAACAGGAGGGGGTACCCACAGCCTCCCATGCCAAGCACAGCATGGCCAGGGAACTCAAGTGATGAGAGCTTTCTGGGTTATGATTTAGCTGGGGTCAGGGAACAAAGTAAAGGAGTGGGAAAGCAACCTGAACAGAGCCCGAAGAGCTGGGTGAAATATTCCACCCAACGTACAAATAATTGCGTCCATTTTATTTCAGCTACAGAATTCCATGTCGTCTCAAGGAGGAAAAAACGAAAAACAACAAAACACACAATTATCTTTGCTCAAACTTGGCTCAGGTTCACTTAAAAAGTTAATGAACCTTCTGAAAAATCTGGGCAAAGTTTCAAGCCTGTGCTGCAGTCCCTGATCCAGTGAAGGAATCTGCAGGGCTCCTGCCTCCCCAGGGACACGTGTGCAGTCCAGATCCCATCCCAGACCCACATCCTTGCATGGAACCTTGGCTCCTGCTGCAAGGTATTTTGGGATTTTTACAAAGAAGTGTAATTACAGCTCATTCTGTGTGGAAGGAACACTTCCTTCTCTTCTGTCTTCCCATCGGTTTAGCAGAAGGGAGGAGAGGCTCAGGGCAGGAATCAACTCTCACAACAAAGCCATGGATGCTCCCATGAAAATGCTTTCCCTGGCATTGCACATCTTCACTGGGATCAGGGGGCAGAAACATTTCTGGTGGGATATGCAGAGCAACGCCATCAACTCCACCCCACCAGCATCGCTGCTCCCACTCTGAGGTGCAGCAAAAGGAAGGCTCAGGGCAGGAACTTCTCCCAGGAACTTTCTCTCTAAGCATCAACCCATTACAATCACCCTGTTGTATTGCAGAAAGAGCAGCTTTAGTAAGGGCTAGGGATCAGGACTGAATCTCTCCACTAAAGAAAATCTGCATTTCAAGCAGCAATCACCAGTCTCCAGAGACAGAGTCTCCCTCCAGACACGGGCCATGCCTCTAACTCAGGTTTGCCACAACAGCCAAACAGTCCCACATTTAAATCAGGATCCAGCTTTTCACACCCACATGTGTATTCCCATTGTCCTCCTTCCTTGCTCTGTCTCTCACTTATATTTTCAGGCTCATTTTCCAAGTACACAAATTTAACCCTTCCCCCTCGTGGCAATACTCCATCCCACTGACATTTGTAGCAGGACATAAAACCATTCCCTATCCAACCCAATAAGCTGCAGTTCCCAATTCCTTTCCCTTCTGCCATCCTACATGTTATATTGCCCAACAGCCTTATTGCCAAGCCTCTCTCCATGCTCACACACAGTGCCCAATCTAAAGCCCCAATGACAGATGCTTAGACACTCCAAAAAACCCCCCAGATTTAAGTTGTAAAAGCCAAATATCTGTTTGTGAAGTGAAAGAAAAAGTACAGATTTTGTGCATTGTCTCTGTTCTTCCTTCTAAAACAAAGGACAGAAGCTGGGGAGATGATGCACAGGTTTCAAGAGATGAACAGTTTCACCTTTTGCAGAGTGGCTGTGATAGGATTCCTAGTGCCATAAGACACTTTCTTTGGGCAAACAGAGGACATGCACACACACTGAGTATACAAACCTAACTTCTTTTTTTCTTTTATTCATAGTTTATCTGATGGGACTTAAGGGACAACACACCGAGTCCTATTTCACGGATGGAGTCCTAAAACAGAAGATTGATGGACCCAATCCAAATATGTTGGCAATCACCTCATACAATACCAAAACAAGCAGTTTAAAAGGCAATAGAGCACATCCACAATCTGTTAATAAAAGGTCACAAACACCTGAGATGGAGATATTGAAAGCACCTGGACCATCTTTTTACTTTTAGTTCAGACTTGTCCTTTGCAAGGGATGCTGCAGCCTCTATTCACTGAACAAGTAAAATTCAGTTTCAGAAATAAATGACCAAGCTAAAAATCTTGCTTTTGAACAGACCAAAATGCAAGACCAAGGAGAAATACTCCACTGACACCTCACCACTTCCCAGCAGAGACAAAGAGGAACCACAAGGATCCTTGTCACCCTCCCAACAGCTTTTTCCCCCACTCTCTGTTGCTTGATTTTGTTTCATTTTCTCAGAAGACCAAACACTCCCTTTTTTTTTTTTTTCCCCTGTCCCATTCAAACACATCTCTCCCTCTCTGGAGACCCAGCCAAGAAGGGACACAGACATCTGCAAACCCAACTTGCCACCCTGCTCCTTATCACCCGCCTCTCACCACCACCTGGCTGCCAGCCCCGCTCCTCCAAGGGGGTTCTCTGTCGCCACCAGTGCCATTGGCAGCTTCGACTCACCATGACTGAGATATGAAGAATGTGCATCTGCTCCTCCACTATCTCCGAGGGCTCCTGCAGGCTGGGGGGGGTGGCCCGGGACAGCTGCTCGGCGCTGCTCATGGACACGTGGAAGTACAGGGTGCCGTTCTCCAGCCACTGCTGCTTCCAGTGCACCAGCGAGATGTCAGCCACGGTCCCCGACATCTCTGCAGGGACAAAACACACCAGGAGGATGTGAGGATCAGGGTTTTGTTTTGTTTGTTTGTTTTTCCACATTGCTCAGAGGTATTATTCTAAACGATCCAGGAAATTGAGATGGAGTTTTACCCCAGTACCGGTTCTATATCATCATCTACAGGATGAGCTTGAGCATTATTTTTTAGCCTCTGCCTGCTATTTCCCCCCATATATGAACAGTAAAGTTTGTCTTCCTTAATAAAAAGCAAGGGGCTACAGAGTGCTTTGGGATTTCTAGACTAGGAAGGCAGCAACAGTAAATAACACATTACACAGGTTGCCTTTAACCTTCTGTAGCTCTGGAAGGAGCTCCCAGGGATCTGCAGCCAAGCCCAAGGGAGCTTTGTGAGTTGGCACAGGGAGGACACTCAGTGCAGGATGCAGGCACCAGTAGACACTTTGCTGGCATTACAATGGGAACCTTCCTCCAGGAGCAAGGCATCACCAGAGCTGTATTGAACGGGGATGTTCTCAGAACAGACTGTGAGCACCAGCAAGAAGAGATGACCACCAGGCTTGACAAATATCCATTGACCTTGCGGTTGCATCTCTTGGTCACCTTCTGCAGCTTCTGATGGTTTCACATCCCATCTAATCCTGATTTACACCACAAGCACCCCGGGAGCTGGGATTACAGCATCCCAGCACACACATCCACTATGTCAGCCTCCCCTGGCCCAGGGCACTGCACCAAATCAGGGGCTTGGACAACCCACATGGCAGCCCTAGAGCTGCTGCCCCAGCAGAGGCAGCATCTCCCAGCCTCAGCTGCAGCCTGGGCCAGGAGCGCTGATAGCTCCTCAGCTGCCCATCACGCTGCAAGCAGATCTCTGCACAGAGCAGATTTGGCAGTTTGGCAGCTGAATCAAAACCCAAAAAAAACCCCCAAAAACAAGCACAAAATGAGCCAAAATATTTCTCCTTCCACTATCTCTTTTTTTGTGTGTATGTTTGTTTTTCCATTTGTGATATAAGCAATGGGAATCAATTCAGGTCCTCTTAGTCTCTGGGCCCACGGTTTCGGCAGTCACCTGCTTTGAGGGAGACCCAAATTCAGCTCCCTCCTGTTTGGGAAGAGCAGCCAGCTCTAACAGAGCATGAACACACTGTCTGCAGGTGTGTCTGCTCCAGAACAGCCAACAGCACAAGCTCAGGGACTCCTGGCACCGCAGTGGGCACAGAGACAAGGTCCTCCTTCTCCCCCACACCTTGGCCACAGAGGGTCAGTGGGGAGGACAGGGCTTGTTCTGCTGTTGGCAAAGCAGTCAGGGAGTGGTGATGGCATTTGGCATTTCATTATCCTGAACCCAGCTGGGCAAAACCCACATCCAGGAAGGAACAAGCCCAGCTGAGTCTGTCCTGAGGAGTCACCCACACCTTGCAGGACAAGGTGCTTCATGACACTTGGGTGCTGGCTGGGGAGGAGCCACTCAGGCTACAAGACCAAGCACTTCCACTTCTACACACCCGCATCCCAAACCAACAACAAAAAAAAAAACCCCTCTTGATTGTTCAAGAACAGTTTTTCTCACCCCTAAAAATCAATACATTTTCCAGTAGCAAGTTCCAGGCTTTCTATCATGGATCAAAACGGAGCCAACCTACCTGCTCACAGAGCAGCCCCCCTCATGCCACAGGTGCTGCAGGATCCTCTCTTGCTGCAGGGCTGGGGGCAGGGACAACGTCACTCTGTTACTGCCAACTGCCTGATTCAGCACCTCACCTGCTGACACACCTGAGCTGCTGCACTGGCACCTCAGTCTCATCAGAGGGGTTTGCTCGTTGCCTCTGCCCTCCCAGCATGGCTCCAGTTCTTATCCCCAATCCCTGAGGGCACCGGAGCACCCAACAGAGATAAACCAAACAGCTCCTAACCCTGCATGGATCCATCAGTAGCCCACGCTTGCCCTTCGGAGGGGACGTGTGAGCTCCCTGTCACATCTCTGTCGCTGCTGTGACATCTCTCCTAATGACCCTTCCCTCCTTTAATAAAAACAGCTGTTTGCTGGAGCAAATCAGGAGCAAGAGGTGTTGTTGCTTGCACTCTGTAACCTGTAAATCACAGCTGCCCCAAGGCTCTCGCCGCAGGACAGCAGCTCTGCAAGATCTGGGAATCTGATGAAATGAGTCTTGTGTCTCTGCACTCCAAAAAGGCTAAAGCAGAAGGTTTCTCATAGCAGTAAAAGAACAAAATGAGAGGAATATCAAGGCTCCTTAATTGCAGTCGTCTTCCCAGCAATACTTCAAAGGTCTGCACGGAAAAGCATCTCCTTGTCTAATTAAAATCAAAACAAATGCTACTTTTAGGAGCAGAAGCACTCGCTCATCTCTGCACTAGAAATCCATGATCATCCACAGAGGCAAACAGGCCCTGGGAGAGCACAGAAGCACCAAGGGACAGACTCTGTTATGCAAAGCCATAATCTTAATTCTGTCCAGGGGGACAGCCACCCACAGGAGGGGATGATTTACAGTATTACAGACTCATCACACACACATCCCTGCAGCAGACCTTCCCAAAAGAGCTCAGGAAGGTTATATCACCCACATGCCACCACAACCCCACCACTGCTACATTTCCAAAGGCTACATCACAGCAGGGAAGCAGGGAAAGAAAACCTCTAGGGTCAATCTTCCTCCAAATTTTCTTTCCCTTACACACACATTTTTTTGCATGGGATGTTTAAAAGGATCACAGAGAACATTTCTCAGGAGTTCTGAAATATAGGCAATTTTTTGGATTTTAGCCTAGACTGAAGATAAGCCTGTTTCATTTTCAAAAAGGTCTCTTCCAAAAGTAGAAACTTCAATTTAACATTCATTTCGCAATTTTAAGCAAACCCAGCAACCAGGCAGTTTGTGACAAACACTGACTTGCCAAGCCTGGATACCTGTTCTCAGCCACTCATAAACACTTGTGTGCTCACCACCCCTGAGCCCTCATTGCAGGACAATTATTACCCCCAGCATCACCAGGACATAATAAGCCACCCTCAGATTTACTACTCAAAATAAAATAAAATAAAATAAAATAAAGCCCTGTAGCTGCTGAATTCTTCAATATCCAAACACAGGGAAGTTTCTTAACCTCGTATACTTGACACAAATACTCCACTGCCTGTGTTTCACTGGACACAAATCGTCACTCCGCTATCTGCACAGTACTTACAGCACTGATAGCCTGTCCATCAGAAAGGATGTAATAGTCTGCAGCAAGATTGCCTGTTATCAGAGCTTTCCAATGCTTTTGGAACAAATTAAGGGCATTCCTGCACCAAAACTGAATGAGATACAGTTAAGGTTTTAAATGGGCAGCAACGGAAAAAGCACTTGTGGTCTATAGCTGTTTAAAATCTCAGTATCCAGCAGATGGGGAGCTCTCAGATGGGGTTCAAATGCAGCTTTGTGGGTAAAACACCAAGTAAAACAGCCAAACAGATCATAAAACATCTGCCATGCCATCTCCCTACCTGCTCGCTGTGCTCAGCAGAGAAGGGATGATGATGGCCCTCAGTCCCCGCAGCAGCCAGCCAGACTTCTTCCCTTCTCCCTATCCAAAGACCCCAGGCAACCTCATTTCTCCATCCCAGAGCAAAGGATCCAAGGAGCCCGTTCACCCTTCCAACACCAGCAGAAATGTCTCCCCTCCAGCCTCCCCCAGGTGCCTCCTGAGCTCTTCACACCTGCCCTTCATTTCCCATCACGCAGCTCAGCTGAGCCCAGGGGCAGCACCCACCAAGCCTTCAACACCACCTGATGATGGTTTGAATTTAAGAAAAGGGCACACAGAGCATTTTCTCTTTTTCTGCCCTTCCTGAGGCTCTGTGCCTCATAAAACTACAACTTCCAACATTTTCCTTGGAAATAAAACAAGAAATCCAACTAAACCCTTCTCCAGGCTCAGTCCCCAATGTGGGCTCATGCCCATCAACAGGTCACCCGTCCAGGATAAGGCACGGGACAGCAGTGACCACAGCAAGATCCCTTCCAAACAATGCTCTGATTCCATTTTTCTCTTTGCTGTTGCTACAAACCTTACATATAAACATTTCATTGAAGTCTTCAAGTTGTATTACAATCAAACTTAAAAGCAAAAGGGCCTAAATGCATTTGTTTGGGGACCAAGCTGATTCCCATAAAAGCAGATTATGCTGACATGAATATAAAATGAAACAGCAGATATTGGAGGATTGTTACTCCATGCCTTGGGGCTACTGCCTGTCCTACCCACCTCCTCCCTCCTTTCCCCCCTCCCACTGGGTTTCACTGAAGGTAGAGAAAGCCTTTTCACCTCTGCCTTCTCCAAGGGAGGCTGCCAGGCTTGAAATATTCACTATCCCCACCCCATCCCCCCCGACCTTATGCAATGCTTCAACATTATTCATCAGTTATTTGGGAGGTTGCAGCCCTGCCTTGTCTGTCATGGCGTTTTACAAAGCCTGTTTTGTATTTAATTGGCTTGTTCTCGCTAATCTACCATGATTATTGTATTTTTATTTCATTCTTGAAGGTCATTATTAAAATAAGCCGTTTTGCTCACGGCTGCTCATCCCCGCACGGTTCCCCGCCCCCGGATAACCAAACCTTCCTTGTGCTTCCTCCCCCCAGTGCTGCTCAGAGCCTGGGACCTGCTGGGCTCCCTTCCTGGACGTACCAAGTCCTTGGTGTGACGAGTGAGAAGCCAGTGAGTAATTTCCAGTGCACGGATCCAGGCTCCTCCTGCCTTTTTTCCTCCCCACCTGCTTCATCCCAGCAGGACCTGCACCCTGCAGCCAGGCTTCATCAGCTCACCTGCACAGCTCGGTGTCTTAATCTGCTGGCAGAGGGAAAGCTGGAGATCTTTTTAGGGATTGTATTTCCTTTTACAACCTTGGCATCCTCTTCTTGCCCATTCATCACCCCTCATCCCGCAACCCCGTTCCTCCTGCTGTCATTCCGGGGGCCCTTCTGAGTTAATGTTCTCCAGGGG